CAATATGAAAAAAGAGTGAGTCATACAAAAGATATAAAAAGACACTTAAGAACAGTCACTACATAAAAACATTACTTTAGAATTATACAAAAAGAACGACCCTCTGAACATCAAAGTTGCTAGGAAAGCAAGTCAACGAATATATTAGGATAACATTACTACATTAAAAAAACTATTTTTTTCCCAAAGGATAGTCAAGTGAAGAAGTAGGAGTGGAAAAGGAACGAAGACATTTGTAACTATAACATTTCTACAATTTTTTTTTTTTATTTTGGGAAACAGGGTCTTGCTCTGTTGCTCCCACTAGAGTGCAGTGGCGCCAGCCTAGCTCATGGCAACCTCAAACTCCTGGGCTCAAGCGATCTTCCTGCTTCAGCCTCCCAAGAAGCGGGGACTACAGGCATGCGCCACCATGCCTGGCTAATTTTTCATAGAGACCGGGTTTCAGTCTTGCTCAGGCTGGTCTCTAACTCCTGGCCTCAAGGGATCCTCCCACCTCGGCCTCCCAGAGTGCTGGGATTACAGGCGTGAGCCACCACGCCCGGCCCATTACTACAGTTTAAGGTTGCCTAAGAGGGTCCCCTTCTATGAGTTTTCATGATCTGAAAATATTCAACTTTTGGGTAACAGGAAGATGCCTGAGGTAAATCTGTTTATTCAAACTGGTCAACTTTACCGAATAAGTAAGAAACAATAGTAGGTTTAAGAGATTTTTGGGTTTTTTTGAAGGCACTGTCGAAGTACAAGGCTCTACAAAACAGAAACTTATTTTCTGCACTGGGGTGGCAGTGAATTAAACAGGAGGAACCCAACCGAAAAACTTTTTTTGGTCAACCCCGGCTGCCGCCTTGAGGCCCACTCGTCTCGCCGCCCCAGTGGAACGGGCTGAAGCTGCTGTCGGGAAATGGAAGAGGAGAGCTGAGTCCCAGCAGGTTAAACACGGCCACCACGGCCACCTCCGGCGGGTTCACGCGGATGTCCACGATGGCCTCACAGAGGTCCCTGCTCCTGCCCCCTCTGCGGGAAGCCAGGCAGGGCCTCATTCCCGACAGCCCGCGCGTTCCCGACAGCCCGTGTGTTCCCCACAGCCCGCGCGTTCCCGACAGCCCGCGCGTTCCCGACAGCCCATGTGTTCCCCACAGCCCGTGTGTTCCCGACAGCCCGTGTGTTCCCCACAGCCCGTGTGTTCCCCACAGCCCGTGTGTTCCCGACAGCCCGTGTGTTCCCCACAGCCCGTGTGTTCCCGACAGCCCGCGCAACGCCGGGCTCACCCTCTGGACTTCTCTGGAGGGCGTGGCTCTGGCTGACGTGCCTCACACCTCACCACAGCCAGACAGTGGCCACAGCCCGCG